CCTCTTCTGCACTGTGCTTCCTTTAGTGTTCCTTTGAGCTTGTCTCTTCAGAAAGCTTCCCTGTCTACTCTTCACCTCCCATAGCATTCCAATTCTTTCTTAGATCTTAGCTCGGGTTTAATTTTATATATATTAATGAGATGTATTGGTCAAGTAATTTGAGCAGTCAGTTAAAGCATATAAACTACTGGACTGGTAGTTCAATTAGGTGGCAAATGAGTTGAGTTTCTACATTAGCTACACATGAAAAGACAGATTTATGAATATTTTTTGAATTTAGTTGTGTTGAGCTATAAAGTGTGCTGGTGGCAAGAAGAATCCACAGTGGATATTAAAAATATACACTTGATTTAGGTTACTTAGTTACCATGGCTGTATACTTAAGAGTATCTGTGGGAATTTTGGAAAACTTTGAAGAAAATTAATGTAATAGAATAAACTTTGAATCACATTCTTACATTTCAGAAAGAAGAGTGACATCCAAAATGATTTCTCTGTATTTTATTCTCATTTTTAGAGTTTAGAGCACTGAAAGAAAATTGATTACTCTATCCTCCTCACTACTTGAGAAGATCTGTATGTTTAGATTGGCAGAATATTTTATGGCCTGATCAGAATTGGGCTCAGAAGAGATTGTGACCCTTGCACATTTGCTGATTTTATTTCCTTAATTTCCATTTCAATGCTATACATCTTTCCTGGAGCATTATAACTATGAATCATGGAAGGAAATTAAATTGATTCTGTATTCTTCAACCCTACAATTTGGCAGTGAGAATATTTTTTTCCTAAAAAATGACTCATTTACAAAAAGACTTTCTGTGAACGTGGAAAAGACTTTACTGTCAGAAATCTTGCACATGGCTGTAGGGTGGATATTTGGACCTGCTAATAATTGCAAAATGGCAACATTAGTGTCGAACAGTATTGATCAAAGATCATGTGAAATTTGCACGCCCACCTGAAAACACAGAAGCCTGTGTGTTCAGAACAATAAAAACTCAGCGAGCTATATGGAAAGCTTATCATTTTTTCTGTTTCAGGGCATTTTCCTTGTTCAAGTGTACCCTGCTATGAGTCAACCAGTGTTTAGTTCTTGCTCCTCTTGGAAATTGTTGTGTGTTGTAATATTCCTCCCTGTTAACCTTTATTTTCCTGATTTTTAGTCCAAATTTCATTTTTCTGAATTTCATCCAATTTCTTCTGGTGGTTTACCCTGGGATCCCCCAGCTTGGATGTGGTTTTGATTTTTCTTAATTTTGTTACTAATCATGCTTCCTCTAGCTTTTAAAATAATCTTTGAATTTCTTTATATAACTAAGTTTTCTAGAATGCCTCTCACCGTAAGTTAAAAAAAATCCCACATCAACTTGGTTCTCATATTGTGGGAAGCATTTGTTATTTTTTGTATTGCAATTCTTCAAAAGACAAAACAAACGGGGCCATTATAAAATACACTGAAGCCTTGTTCACATGTTCACCATTAGATCTATACGAATGTTGCAAAAGGGTTAAATCATGATGATGACTGGATCTGCCATTCCTCATGTGCTTGTGGTGCCACACATTTTGCAGAAGTGTTCTCATGGTTTTGTACAATAGCCATTGAATCTGAAGAACATAAAAAGAAAAACTCACATTTGAGTTTTTAGCATCTGCCAGGCATTTTCACCTGTGACTCCGTTTGTTTCTTTTCAGAAGTGAAGTGGGCACTGTTATCCTGGTTTGTGGTAAGAAACTGACACTTAGCTAGGCAAAGTTAGTCAAAATCCTGTAGAAAGTAAAGGGAGGAGCAAAAATTCAGCCCAAGGTCTTCCAATTTCAAGATTCATTGTCTTTCCACTTTATTGAGTTGCCTCCCAGGATTTGGGGATATGATCACTCGGCCTGAGGTCACATTATGAGTCAGAGGTGAGCTGGGAACACAGTCTGGGGCATCTCCACGTTGCTTTAATCCATTAAAATGTGATGTGTCTTCTCTAACAAATGGATCATATTAATTTACTTCTTCGAAGAAGAGAACAGCTTTTGATCTTCTACAAAAGATTCGTTTTTTAAAAAAAGTAATAAAGCAGATACGACATTTGGCTTAACTTTTGAAAAAATGTGAAAAAAATAATTCATTACAGTGAACTTTGCAGATGACCGGCCATTTTGATAAATAGCCAATCTCCATGGTAACTTTCTTTTGAGGAATTTTATGAACATTCATATTCTTTGGGCACTCAGAATTCTAAACAATTTAAAAGCAGCCTGGCAAATATGCTTTTTTGAATCTGATTAATTATCCTAGAATCGTAAGATCAGATCTACCATGAAGCATTTTCTGATAAGAGAGTGTTCCCACTGACTCTATCAACTAACGAATAACTTTGGGCAAGTTATTTAATCTTATGTGCCTCAGATTCCTCATCTGAAAATAAGGATAATACAGCACCTACATTAATTAAAGGGTGATTGTGAGGGTTACATGAATTAAGTGAAGTACTTAATCTGGACTCTGGTGAATTCTGTATAAATCATTGCTATTATTGTTTCTCCCGATTACGGCAGCCTGTTGTAAATCCTATCAGACTGTCCAGAGAAGTGCATACAAGTTTTTGAAGGATCTGGAGGCATCCTAAGTGGCAGCAGTTATAAGTAACCTAACTCTCTTGGGCATGTGCTACCAGTGACAGAGTTGAAATTTAATTCCAGACCTATCTCATTGCAAAGTGGTTGAAGGAAAGAGATTCAGTGGTCACTAGAGTGGTAGAGATAAGAGGCTGAGCAAACGGTGTGAATTGACTTTGTTCTTTCTTCCTACCATTCTTGGGAACACGAACCACATGGCATGACTAAAACTTGAATTTGCTACCGGTAGCGGCCCAAACATAACCTCGTTCCTTCGGGAAAGGGATTTTTCACACTTTATGCAGTGTGGATTACATGAAGGTAAATTCTTCCAAAGTTTGATTAACCCAAAATGCCAAATGCTCTGTTCAATGCTGCAAATAAAGAAATGAATTGGACTGGGTTTCTCATATCAAGGGGGCACATAATCCCATGACACTTGAGACAGTGGCCACCCAGAGAGCATATATTGGGCTTGAAAGCTGCAGGTCGTTTAATATGGAGCGTGGAAAGGTTTGTTATGAGACTCACTGGTGAAGCAAAATGACGAGTGACTCACTGGTGAAGCAAAATGTTTAAGGATTGGGCACAGGGATTCAAGAGAAGAATTTGTTGAGAAATCTTGGAGGAAGCATGATGATACACTCTGATAAACTCTGAATAACTGAAAGAGTATGAAGGAAAGGATCATGCTTGGTGGTAGGAATTACATAGTCTATCATTTGGAGAGTGAGAGCATTTTACAGAATAAAAAATGTGAGTGAATGTAAAGGGAGAAAACCAATAAGACTGATGTTGCTGAGACAACTATTATTGTTATTAGTATTGTTAGACCTAGCAAAGAATAGTAAAAGGAATATTTGAAAATGGGAGTGGTAAAGCAGGGAATTTTGCTATCTCTAAAATCATAGCTAAAAATGTGCTGACAAGTGAGTGGGTGAATACAAAAAGCAGCCATAAATAGCCACATGGAAATGAAGCTTTTGGATTTAACAATGAAGAAGTAACTGGAAACACTAATGACATCTGTTTTAATATTGTTGACAACAGAAAGCTATATCTAAACAGTAAGACCCGAGAGAGATGGGATCTGAGTAAGAACGTGAAATGTGTTTGCAGGTGTCAGGTGGTCTAAGTCAACGTGACATTGACCTAGGGAAACCTAGACAAATGTTGAGGTCCTGCAAGTTTGTTCTGGCATTTAATTGCCATGTGCTGAGTGAAGAATGAATAGTTTGCCTTGTTGGAACAGTTGTGCTGTTTTGCCAAAGGCCCGGTTTCTGGAGGGATATGTAAGAAGCAGTGGAGACCAAAGTGACCCTTGCCTCAACAGACAGCCCAGCCTTGGGAGGTGGGGGAGACATGTCACAGCCATGCTCATGGGTAACATCAGCAGCTTTCTAAAATGAGCAGTCCAAAGGCTGTTAAAGACTTACTCTGAGGAATAACATTTATCAAGTCTTAATTTATTCCAAGGATTAACTCAAATGGCCATTAATCAGGTGGTTTCAAAATGTAGTCCATTTGTATAATCCTCCAATCTTATGTGTTTTTTCTCTCGAATATGTTAAATATGTTTCTGTGTGCAAAACATTTTTTTGGGGGGGGAGCTGTGAACATTGGCTCTGTTTTTGCAAATCCAAAGCTTCCTTTTAATTGAAGCATTTTTGTTTATTTTTATTATTCTAGAGATATTTGAGACCTTTTCCCTAAAGACTGGAGGATATTAATTCCTTATTCAGCATTTGAAACTTTGTTATTTTTGTTTCTTAAACAGTCACCAAGTGAAGTCTTAGGTGTAAGACATTCCAGACAAGAGTGAATCCTGGATTCCTGCTCTTAGTATGATGAAATATTAATTATTTTGTGTTTACTTTTCTTTAGGGATATCAAGGAATTGCAGGATCACCAGGTGTCCCAGGATCCCCTGGCATACAAGTATGTGATTCATAGATACACATTGTAGAATTATCGTTTCTAGTGAACCCAAGACATAACTAACCGGATTTTATTTTGTGCTTGATTTAGGGAGTTCAAGGACTACCAGGTTACAAAGGAGAACCAGGGAGAGATGGTGAAAAGGTAAATGCACACAAACAAAAATGTGTCCAGTCACTTTGGTCATTCAAGGAAGACAAAGGATGTTACCTATGACGACTCCCATTCAGTAGTGTTCACCTTGGTGAATTGCAAGATATGTGGGCTCAGAAATTTGTCAGTGGTCATTGGCTAATAAAGCTCACAGCAGGTTTTTGTCATTAGATGAAATAGGTTGTAAGTAGATGACCACTGTCAGATGGAACAGGTATTGGCATTGCCCTGATGCCAGGTTCTCTCCTTGTGGTTAAACTCTGAGGTGGGGATTACCTTCTTAGAAGGGAGAGAACTATGTGAATGGAATATGTTCCTGTTAGCCACAGATAGCCCAATTCTAGTATGTCCCTCTCCTTAATAGATACCTATCTGGTGCTTCTTTCATAGCTTTATTGAGGATCAAATGAGACAATATAATGTGTGAAAAATATTTAGTATGTTTCCTGGTGCAGGGCCTGCTTGCCTTTCTCTCTCTCTCTCTCTCTCTCTCTCTCTCTCTGCACAAGTGGGGGAGAGGGAGAGATAGAATCCTCAGTAGGCTTCACACTCACCAAGGAGCCTGACGTGGGGCTCGATCTCACGACCTGATCTCATGACCTGAGACGAAATCAAGAGTCGGACACTTACCCAACTGAGCCACTCAGGTGCTCTGGTACAGGGTCTTGCTTAAATAAACAGTTGTTTTTGTACTGTTCTGTTTTGTTCATCCAAGTAGCATGGTTGCAGTTGGGATGTAGCATGGGGTAGGTTGGCATATGTCATGGGCATAACATGGGTTGAAACAATCCCAAGGGCAAATAGGAGGTTTAGTGGCCAGAAAAGATGGAATAGGTCAGGGCAGCTTTATAATCTGGGGAGAGTTAAAGGACAGAGCGCAACAGTAGCAGTCAATAAAATTCCTGAAGAAGTGTAAAATCCTGCTGTCTTCTATGTGGCCTCTATGAATCTTTGTAGCCACTGAGAAATCTCTGCCTATCTTAAACAATGGAGGTATATATTAAGAGGTGATAGGGAGCATGTCTTATACTTTTATGCTGTGGCAATGTTGAGAGGGATAGCCTGACCTCTGCCAGGTGAATGGGGGATTCCACTGAGATCATGAAGATACCTATTTTGAGGAGTCCATGTGGCAGACACCTCACTTATATTCTGGTTTACAGGATCACTGCTGTTTTTTAACATTGTCACAATTAGTATGATTTGGGGATGGCAGGGAGATAATGAAAGTGTGAGTATATGAATGAATATATCTATGGATGAATGCATAAATTTGTCTATTTTTCCCTTGGGTTTTAGAAACCAGATATAAAAAGGAGGGTGTTTTTTATTCATCTTAAAAGAATTGAAATAAAGTGCCTGTTTGAAGGTAGAAGAATAGCAATAATTTGATTAGTCACATCTTTAACTGCTCTGTTGGATGGGGTCATGGTACTGTCTTCAACATAGATGGGCATGAGTTTTACAAAGTCATACATTCTCCTGAATAAAATAAGATGAGTGAAGATGATGTGAAGCCCTCTGTTTTCAGTCCAGTAATAATTCCACTCAAGAGTTGCTTGTTTTCTGAAATTTGTTGTTTGGGTATAAAGTCTGATCTGACACAGTCCCTGTGGGCCTGAGATCACCGTGTGCTGTGCCATCTAAATTTCCTCCTCACATTCCTTGTGGCTTCAGAGTGTTCTTTATCTAGAGTTGCAGTAAATGAATAAGTTAAAGACTTTCCCTTGGTTCTTCCTCTAGAATTTAGTTCCTTAATTTTCAGAAATAGGAAGGTTGAAAAATAGACCCTGAGATGACTTTGACTTGTGGTATAGGACATTTTTTCCAGGCATCACATAGCATCCTCTGAGAGATTGTTCCACACAACACTGTTATCCATTAGGATATTTTCCCAGAATCATTTCCATTTTGTGGATTTCTTCTGAGAACTCCCATAGTAGGAGTTTCCACTTAAGATAATTAAAACTACATGCACTTTCTTGCTGGCTTTAGCATTGGTTGCTCACATATCAGACAGTAGAGTGTGTATAGATTTTGCAGGTCCCCCTCCCCACCGCCACCGATTTATAAAGTTAAAAAGGAGCACCAATTCACCAAATGGTCTTCAACTGGTAACTCATTTTATAATATGTTTTGAAGCTATTCTTTGGAATTTAAGAAAAAGTACTTCAAAACACTTCCTCAACTTTAAGGAGACCCATGTATTTAAATCATAGGGAGAAACATATTTTGTTAAAATTATATTAAGTTGTGTTGATGGGATGATACATATTTATGGGTTTTTGAGTTGAGTATGAAACTTTCAATGGAAAATTCAATTCTCAACACATGGGAGATAGTAATTTATTTTTTTTAACCTATCTAAACTTGGTACAAACTCATCACTTTGTTTTTCTGGATTTAAGAAATAAGTTAATTATATCTAAGGTCTCATTATGGAGTGAATTACACATTTTGCTTAATTTCCTCTTTAGATCATTTAACATTGAAATTGTCCCTTCAAGACTTTACTTTCCCATTGTCCTTAGTGTCTATACAAGAGTATAATGTGATGAATGAGATTTCCTTATTTCAAATCAATCCCTTACTTTCATTACTGCACTTCCAAAGTCAAAAGATTAAGTGGTATTACAGTGATTTATATGGTTAATTATAATTAGAGAATGCCTATATACATGTGGAGAGAACAGAATAAAGGACCAACTTAGTATATATTAGTGGTTTTACTTCTTACAATGTCTGAAAACAAACAAAAAAAAAGAATGTTTAAAAAATTAAAACAAAGCCAAGAGTGACATGAGAGAGAGAAATAGAATTGGCTTAGTGAAGTTGCCACTTTTTTCTTCTTTCTCAGAAAAGGAGGGTAATCAAACTGTGTAGCTTTCTGATAACACCACCACCCAAGGCCCAAATGCTGGTGTGCTCATGGCCAAGGTTGGAGGGGGTGAGGGTGGGAGGCTTAAAGCAGTTATGAGTTTATAGACTGGGCTCTGAATTAAGACTGCTTAACTCCCTAGCCATGCTTCTTAATCTATTTAAACCTGGATTTCAAAATGTGGAAAGTGAGTGCTATTGTATTTCTTCATAGTTTTGTTCTGAAGGTTAAATAGGCTATGCATGTACTTGGCCAAAATTAAACAACTATAAATTAGTGATGATAAAGATGATGTCAATGACTGTCTACCCTCTTACTTGTGTATGTGTCTAAATTTTGTTCTCTTTCCTGTTAATATGGATGAACTGTCCATAATATCCAGTCCTCCTCTTATGTTCTGGATCCTATCCTTCTCCATTACTTTGTGTTATTAATTAGCCCTTCTCTGCTATGTCATGGTTTTTTCTTTCTTAGTTAATTTTTTACCAATAGCCTAAAGGCTGACCCATCTAAAACCAACCAAACTGAACCCCCTCCTCTACCATATAGTCTCCTTTAGTTACCACCCCGTTTCTCCTTTCCATTATAGTAGAAACACCCTAGAAAAGTTTGCCTTTATTCTCTCTGCACTTTCTTACTTCCCTTTCTCCCTTTAATTCACTCTAGTAGGATTTCCACCCCACACTTCTGCTGTGTATTTAGATTAGTATCTACCATCTTTGAAATCCAGTGGTCATTGTTTTCCAGTGATCTCTGCTTATCTTGCTGTTATGTCCCAGCAGCATTTGACACAACAGACTTTTCCCTTCTTCTGGGAACAATTTGTTCTCTTGGCTTCTAAGATAGCACATTTCCCTAGATTTTCTCTTGCCTTCATTGGTTACCTTTTCACTGTTGACTTGTCTTCTATATTCATTCACTAAATGTTGGAGTGTTGCCGACTGAGTTCAGTCCTATGCCCTTCCTCTCCTTCCTTAATAAGTCCATTTATTGTAATATTATTAAATATAAACCTTAATGAATATAAATTTATTGTTAACTATATAAACATATTTGTGATAAGTATATCAATAGCAATATATTTATGTGATCAGTGTTATAGTTAATAAAGTAAAAATATTAGATATACATGCATACGCATGATGTTTTCTTTTTTTTCTTTATTTAAAAAAAATTTAATGTTTATTTATTTTTGAGAGAGAGCATGAGCTGGGGAGGGGAAGAGAGAGAGGGAGACACAGGATCCGAAATAGGCTCCAGGCTTCAGCACAGAGCCCGACACAGGGCTTGAACTCATAAACTGTGAGATCATGACCTGAACTGAAGATGGATGCTCAACTGACTGAGCCACCCAGGTGCCCCACACATTCTGTTTTCTAATAAAATACTTTACTTCATCTGAATATGAAGAAACTGGAATTGTTAAAACCAGGGATTTTCGGAAAAAACTTGTATTTTTTATGGATGGTGTGGTACCACGTCTTCCTTCTACATCCTTTTCTTAGAGGCTTTTCTTCCAAAAAAGCATCACTAATTGTGCCTTCCTTAAATATGCTTTGAAGTCAGGTTTTGTTAAGTGCCTCTTGTGTACATAGGGTGCTGACCTGTGTGTGCCCAGGTGTTTATTACTTCTGTGGATACTTTTACAACGTCTTGATTGTTCTCTGGTCTTGCAGCTTCTTTTCTTTTAAGCCTTTGTAATGGATTCAGCATCTCAGTTTATTAAAAAGAATCAATAATTCCAGGCCCCGCCTCATTTGTTGGCTGCAATGCCTTTTTCTGTCCCATTTTGTTTTTCTCTACTGGCATCCCTTGAGACACTTGAAACTTACATTTAATTTTTACAGAGTGCTTCATATTTTGTTGGTTCTAAATGCCATTTCTCATCTTCTCTTTGGGTGTACTCTATGGTCACTAAGAAGCTATGGCAGTGCCTCTGTAGTAGGAGCTCACGAACCTACCTTTTTTCTAGGCCTGACCAGTTCAGTCATGATCTCCAAACCCAAGGGGATTGCCCATTGCTGTATTAAAGAGAGGAAACATTTTAGCAGATTTAAACAATTTTCTGTAAATCATTAGTGCCTGAGCCTCCCATTTGTTTTTATGGGAGAGA